TGCCTCTCTGAAGACAAGGTACCTGGCGGGACTTCATGAAAGATGTCCCAGCACCCTGGAGCAGAGGTGCCCAAGCTACCTTTCAAGGAGATACCCGGGGTATAGTAGCAGTCTTTCTGCCACAGGATGGAGCTCAGTGCAGGCTGCAAAGCATTTCTAGGAAGCAGGATAAACACTCAAGCATCTCTCTGTCACTGATGTCCACACTGCTGCTTCTAGATTGCTATCAGCGCCTGTGCCGGCGGCTCAAAAAACCTCATTTAGGTAGGTCTGAATCCCACTGCAGAGTCTGCACTACCAATACGCCTCCAGGGAGATAAATTCCACAGTGACTGAAAAAAAAATCAGGCAGGTGAAGGTCTTGATCATGTCTGAAAAAGTACAATAGAAAAAAAGCAAGGGGGGAAAAAAGAACAGGTCTTGATCATGTCTGAAAAAGTACAATACAAAAAAAGGACAGGGGGAAAAAGAAGCAGCTTTTGTAAAAAGTGAGCATGTGAGCTCTGTGGGTTCGATTTTGTCCCACTTACTCTGTTCACCATCTCTACAAAGCGTTTCTCACACAGAAGTGTATTTTTAACAACGCTGAAAAGAACCTGCCAGAATTGGAAGCTCAAGCTACTTTTACCCTGGATAAATGGGACACAAATGTCACGTAAGAGGTTAAATGTCACAGGGAGGATTTTTTTTTTCTCCCTTTTTAAATCCAATATGGCAAAATTAGTATTAATGGGGCCGATATTTCTGACTGTGAAATCTCACTGAATATAAATATTTAACAAGAGAAATCATCAGAGTTCTCCTTCTACCCGAGTACAATGCACAACCAGAAACTGCTTTACTGAAGGAGTTAAAGTTTTCTGCAATAATGCAACAAATCACTCCATGCAACAAACAGCACATTCTGTGGCAGTTTCCCCACAAACTTCAATCTATGGGGAAAAAAAATTTGTGATTTATTATATAGCATTTGGACAGTTGCGAAAGAAAATTTGCCAAAGATCAGAATAATCAACTCTTTCACCCAAGCAGTTTTTTTATGGAAGAAAAAAAGCACAGAATGGGTCTGAGCAAAATAAATAAAAATTCCACACTTTTAACCAACAGAACCTTTTGCGTCATTCAGAAATATTTACAGACATTCAGAATCTTTTATCATCAAAAAGACACTCTGGCCTTTAAAATTACAACTTTTTCTTATATTTTTTGTTTACTGATAGCCTCTAAACTAGTGGGTATCCCTAACTTGTGGCATCTCTTCGTGCTGTGCTTGTCAAACGTAGGAATTTTTAAAGCTGTGCCTGGCTATTTTTTCCATTCCCTTGAAACATCTCTCTTCTGCTAAGCTGGGAATTTTCAAGATAGCAGAACACCATCCACTCGCAGCATCATCCACCACCTGAGTCACTGTCACCAGTGCCTCAAACACCAGTTTTCATCAATTGAAAGGGCCGCTAGTGGCAATATTAATCTGGAAATGGCCAGTTGTTTTAATACAATTAAATACAGCCGGGAAGAGGGCTGCAAATAGAAACATACGTTAGCCATTTATAGTATGCAAGTTTACATATACAAGGCTCTCTCAGAGTCCAGTAAAGGTATTAACATAGCATCCCTGTTCCACTTGCCTATTTAATTAGCAAACAATGAAGGCCACTGAATTTTTCCGCAAAAGGTGTTGCGTATTTTGGACAAAAAAGAAAGGAGAAAAGAAGTTGCTTTTAAGTGCAATCCAAAAAAATAGCTCCTTGGCTAAATAGCACTTTTAATAGAGATGTTTCCAGTGTTTGTTTATTTATCAAAACACGGTGTTTTGATTTTTGTTTCTGTGCATAAGAAGGAGGGGAAAAAAGGGCTTCACTAAGCAAGTCTTTCAGTAAGACACCAGATGATGGATAGTCAAACACAGAGTCTCCTGTAAACACAGAGGGAACCAAAAGGTATGAACTGACTCATAATTGTGTCAACACAGGTCGCAGACCCTTGGTTTATTTCAGCCTTCCTGTTTTTCACAGATTTCTTTTCACACCACACTATTTTTTTTAAGACACAGACTCTTTTCAGTACACCTTAGTGGGGTGCAAAAGCACACACGTTTTTACACCAAAATGTGGGCATCTACACACACATGTAGGCTGCACTGCCACAATTACATCAGCAACATTTTCCATCACTGGCTTACGGCTGCATTAAACCGAGCCATGCCCTTCTTCACAGCAGTCCATGCCCACTCTAAATCAAAAGGTCCGTCCCATCCCTGCCTCCAGCTTTTCCACGGAGGCTCTTGGGAAGCATCCAGGAAAGAGGAGTACAACAAAACCTCAACAGCCTCCTCCTCCAGTTCATGCAAACCCTCTAAGACTGGGTGTGATTTTTTTTCTTTAACATGTGGCAAAGTGGCAAGACTGTGTCTGACCAAAAGTGCTGGGAGGCTGACACACAGCAAAGAGGTCTGTGAGGAGCAAAACCTACCAATATTTGTCTTGATCTCCAAACACACTGAATTGAGGTTGTAGCCTTTTCCTTGTATAAAGTTGTTCTTCTCTGCTGGTTGCCATAGAGATCGGAGGAAAAAGCCTCTCTGGGGTCTTTATTTCATTATCAAATTTGATTGATGCTGACCAGTGGACTAAGGAGTTGTTAGGGGAGGGACTGATGGGCAGATACACCAAGCATTGGGTCCCCTGCAAGTCCTAGTGCCATTCAGCCTACCAGTGGTTCAAGGCTGTGTCAGTACCTTCCCTCACAAAATCAACTGCAGAGACACCTTGTCACCTGGAATCCTGAGATCCTCATAAAGGACTTGCAGAAAATAATGAATGGGATGAGTTAAAACCAAGGGAGTTGTTCTTCACAGAACCATACAATGGTTCAGGTTGGAAGGGATCATAAAGATCATCGAGTCCCAACTCCCCTGCCCTGGGCAGGGACACCTCCCACTAGACCAGGGTGCTCAAAGCCCCACCTTCCTCAGCAGAGATCAGACTGCAATGCCCAGTACGTGGCCTGGGATGTCCAAGAGCCACACTGAGCCCAGTGGAACGAATCTGCACATGCAACAGATCCATCCCGAGCACCTCAGATCAACCACAGATGTGTAAATGGATTCATGCTACGGACCCAGAGAGCCTGGCTTATCCAAGGTGTGTTAGATCCCCTCCATGAGCAAGGAGAAGTTTATAAACAGTGACTGTCTGGGATGTTTCAACCTCAGCTAGACTAACTGAAAAATGGTAGAGCCAGCAAGGACAGACAACCTTACTCAGGCTGAGCAGTGCCTCATTCCTTGTGCAATCACATCCAGCTCAGCAGGAAAGCTACTCAATAAAAATCAGGCTCCCAGAAAAATGATTTGGACCTTATTTCCCATTGTGTAAAAGCCAGTTGCTAGAATTCCCAGTCAACAGGTAACGCTGGTAATGTTTGCAGTGAAGCCAAATCCACCAAGAACATCACAAGGGCTCTTGCCCTGCTACTTCACCAATTCTTTCACAAAAAGAAACCAAACAAATTACATTTAGGACAAAGCTGACACCAAAAAAAAAAAAAAAAAAGCCAGAAACAGCATTTCAGAAACAGAAATCATTGGCAGACTTGAGTTTTTAAAGACTACTCATTTAAGATATTACACCTTTGTAAAGAGCAAGCATTTTATCGGGTGCCATTTTCCCCTACAGGAACAAAGACTGATGGAACAACAGAGAGAATTCCCTATGCAAGTTACAATATACTGAGTCAGAATTGCTTCCAGCAGGTTCTGTACCTTCACAGATTTTTCCAGGGTTTGTATGTCTATAGAGTGACCATAAACAGGGAAAACCTACTATCTTTTCTCCTGCCTCCCCCTACTTTCTTTACATCCTTTTAGCTCTGCAGCAGAAGACGAGAGAAGCAAAATTTACGGAAGGAGACTGTGAAATGGGTTTCAAAACACTCCATATATTTTCTCTGCATAAACACGCTGTGAATTCTGAATGTACATAGTGCCAGGGCATTGTCAGTCAGGCCCCAGGAGTTCACCCAAGTCAGACAAATGATGACGCCTGCTATCTCAGTTGTTACAGTTTCTTGTCTTTCATTCATTTATTGCCAGTGGCTGGATTTTATGTCAGTGTAGGGGAGGAAAGGAGCCTCAATTGCTGAAGTTAACCTCTTGTGGTGAGATCAGGAACAGTGGGCTTTCCAGTGGAGAATTCACAAGGAGATATCTGTTAGTCTAAATTGCCCAGGCAGCAGTCAAAAGAATGCTGAATTTTGGCAGGCATGAGCGGAAGAAACACCGTGTTATGGAAATGGCCACTGCAAGCTCCATTCCAAATCTGTAGTGTTTGGCCCACATCGATAAAACAAAAAGTGACTTAAAAATTATTTTACATGTCCTGTAAAAAACTGCATGAAATAGTGTGTGGTTTGAATAGAGGATGGTACTGCTGAGCAAACCTGCCAGGCAGAGGGCAGTGGCTGCCGCCTCGAATATCATATCCAGAGTATAATTAATATTAACCTTCAACTACATCAGCAATCTCTCTGCTTTCATCAAGTCTCATTTCCTCCCTGATAAAGAGCTACTTATTACAAGGGAATGCAGGATGTGATGAGGGGATTACTTTCTGAATGTCCTTTTACAGCCACGTTGGCCCTGGTAGGTACCGATTCAAAGCACCTGCCCCATATGCCAGGTACTGTCTAATGGTGAAGTCCCTTTGACTCCTAGAGCCTGGGCATGCAAAGCAAAGGGCCTGGCCACTGCTAGCCCCAAGCCCAGCCTTGCAAGTTCATTATGCCAGTCCCTCCTGCCTAATCCCTTTAAGAATGAGAAAATGTTGAGTTTGCACGGCAGCATCATGGGATGTATATGCGTCGCACGCCCATCTCTAAACTGATTCCATCTCTAAACTGATTCCATTTAATGATGAGTATCTTTCATGCTGTTCTGCTGAACCATTTTTGATAGCCCATTTTATTTACACAATATTTCCAAAGAAGGGAAAAGCTCTTACCTATTGTTCTTCGCAGATCTTCACATTGGCTAATGTGAGGGAATTTCAAGATTTCCTTCCACTTTTTGCTTTTGCCTTTGCGTTTCCCTCCACCCCCTGCAAAGAAAGAAATACCAGGATTAGATTGCTTTGGGGACCATGCCCAATCCAGAATTTAGCAGCCCAGTCACAGTTTTTATGGATATCATTAATAATTAAAGCTGAGACGTTGTGGGTAGATGTACAGATGAAGTCTGAGCTTGTCTGGGCTGAAACAGACCAAAGAGATGGCATCTGGCCCAAGATCAGCTTGCTGAAAGTTGGGAGTTCAGGCTCGTGGCCCATCAGATCCAGTTCAGTTGACACTGCTGAACCCATGAGCATATCCCACATCATCTCTGCCCCAATGCCTCAACCCCAAGCCATTTCATGAGAATCAAAGAAACTTGTAAAATTGCAGCTCACACCTTTTCAACCTGGATGTCCCCATTCTGGTTTTGGGATGTGCCCTGATTCCATCCCAAGAGAAACTATCCTCAAGGTGAATTACTGAGCTGGCTTCCTCCAGCTCTGGCGGGACCAGTCCAAGACCCTCAGCCCCTCCACACTGATGAATCTCCCTCATCAACATCCCTTCATTAATACCCTGCTGGAGGCATCACTGGCAGCTCTAGATGCCACATCTGAGCTTATCCAGCCAAGCCACTTGCTCTTGGTGTCACTCTTTTATGCTGCCCACACTTGCCTTGTCTCCCCTTCCCTTCCCTCCACTCCACATCTCCATTTCTTTTTCCCCCTCTCTTCTTCCTCTAGTTTCTCAGTTCTTTCTTCTTCTTCACTCCCAGGTGCCCCTTTCTGGTTTGTGTCAACAGTGCAGCAAACGCAAACATGATTCACCTTCATGTATTTTTAAAAAAGAACCTTCAAAATCTGCTGGCTTGATTTGGACCTTTCTACTGCTGTTCCCACATCAGAGTGCCAGACCCTTTCAGCCACATTCTCCAGTGCAAAGATACTTTTCCCCATTCTTTTAAAACTTGTGATGTTTGCTTTCCTACTTTAATAGCTCAGAACCCCAGCCAGCTCAGGATGGGGGACTTGGGCACCGAATCAGCTGTCACAAGAGCACCACAGCTCTGAGGGTCTGCCTCCGGTCCACTGCTCCTTGTTTGCAAGGAGGATGCCTTCTGCACTGGGCTCTGACCAGTAAAGGTGGCGTTTCCAGCACACCTCCCTTTGGGCATTCAGATCTGAAGCCGCTGTTTTTAGCTTTTTCTTGTCTTTGTTTTTTTTTAACTGTAATTGGGCACTTTTTTACTCCAGCCCTCCCCTGGGTTTCTCTTTTATGCCTCCCCATTTTTGATGCTGCCACATCGGCATCACTGCAGAGGGCAGGAGGTGTGGTGTGGTGCTGGGGGCTTCATTCCCAGCTCATGTGTGTGTGTCCATCCTGCTCAGAGAAGATGCACAGCCACCGGAGAAAGAATATCCCCCCAGACACAAAAGCCCAGATGCAGACTGAGATTCTGCGAGTCGCTGTATTTACTGCTTGTATTTACAAGTCAGTCCCTGCACACAAAATCTGATTCACTCGAGTCTATTCTACATGTGCTGGCACATCAAATGACTAATTCAGAGCTGAGTTAATTCTGTAGAGGGGCTGGTAGAGTCACAATCGCAGATTGAGGGTGTGTTGGGTCCTACATGGATTGCAGGCTAAATTAGGAAAGCGTTGACTCAAAAGGTACCAGACCGTTACAGAGAAAACAGGAGCCTTGGAAAACATTGTGAAGCATTGCTCTCTGTGGGGCATTTCTGATCACACCTTTGGTGCAGGAGTGTTTCGTCTGCGTCTCACCTTTCATTCCTTTGCTTTTGGTGACCAATAGTTTTGTCATTGCAGAGCTCGCCTTGAATTATTTTAAACTCCTTATTGACAGGAATTTATTGTCTGTCTACATTGTGCAATGGAGCGTGGAGATATCTGCACTAGCCATGAAGGAAGGAGCTTGTTCAGACTATCAGGAATACAGCTATTCCCTTTCCAGGAATGATTCTCCGGCACAGCAGAGCTGCGACAGCCTCCACGCTGTGCTCTATTACGCAAAGCAAATGTACCCTTTGGGTCTATAATGAACTCTTCTTCAGCCTCCCCTCTCCAGTGCATCACAAATGCTGCCGCTGAAGTCATTTCCTCTCCCATCCTTCCAGCCACAGTATCGGGGAGGCTGTCTGATCTCCTCTTGCAGCATGCGACCCGTGGTCGTGCGTGCTGAAGGTCTTAGGTATGCTACAAGGCGCTGAGAAGCATTCTGTGGGCTGGGGTGGGCACTGTGATGGTCCATTCACCGACTCTCCTGGAGCTGACAGCTCTGCTGTGGTCACCAGCGACTCCAGGGGTTGGATTTAGCAACTTGAAGTGTCTTCCATGGGCTTTTGCTTCCCTGAAAGCCCACTCCTGCAATCCTGCCCAGCTGCCCCTTGCTTGTCAGGCTGCCATCTCCATTCACCCCTCTTCTCCTCTTCCAGGGGCCTTCCTGCATACCCCTCAGTGCTCCTGCCCTTATGTCTCATCACACTGCACTTACACTTCTCTGCCCCCTCCCTTCACACGCTGCTCTGGGGAATCATCCTTCCTCCAGGAATTCCCATTTCCTTCTCTTTGGCTGCATTTTCTTCCCTGAACTATTGCTTCATGTTTTTCCTCACAATCATTTTTCTTGTAAACTTTGAGTACTATGCCTTAATGCCAAACCTCCATGGGAATGAAATGAATTAAATATATATTTGTTAGCACTGGGGGAGGGATGGGAAGGGAGAGGAGGGCAAGAAGGGAGGGAAACAGCTGGGCTGCTGTTGCAGCAGAATGATCCCCCTTTGTGAGCCACAGGGTTTGAATCTGGCTTTCTGGATTCCTTCCTCAGAGTCCCAGCTCCCAGAGCAGCTCATCCCACCTCCACGTACAAATATGTGTCTCTCCCACTGCAAAGATCCCCTCTGCTCTTTAAGGGGGCAGGCAGGAGCTCTCTGCTGGAGATAGGAGCAGACACTGCAGGCAGCAGATGTGTGCAGCTGCCTGGGAAGTGGTGCCTGCTGGAATGGGATTTCAAATCATTTCTGGGCACGGGAGGCAGCAGGAGTAAGGCTGCATCTACTCAACACTGGTACATTTTCACCCATTGAAGGTCTACCCTCTAGACTAAAGCACTGGAAATTTCAGAGCCCTCCTGCTTCTTCAGTCCCCTTTACACAAGCCCTCACAAAACGTTTGCATCTTTAGCAGCACCAAATCATGCAGAGCACTGCAAAATAGCCCCTTGCTCTAAGTGACAGCTCTGAGATTTGTGCAGAGACGAAACGATTCTGGGCCAGAATGCTTTTCAAACCCATTCAGTGTAAAATACATATTGATATATTTACATTGGATGATGTATCTCTGACATTAAATTTCCATCAAAACTGGAGAAGGGCTCTGCGGTTCCCTGTTACAACCGTGATCGATACAGCCAGCGTGTTGCTTCTCTTTTGTGGCCATCCTCCAAAAATAAGCAGCCTTGCCTGATGAATCATTTGCTCTTAGCTGAGCGTGAAGTAGCGTTACTGTTTTGCCTGTGACGTCTTTATGTTAAAGATTCTGATCAACCGCTTTAATCGACCTGACCTTTCCGCTCTCAGCTTTTCTTGTGGAGCCAGCAGTGTTTGCTGGCTCCAAACGCTAATTCTAGGGGGTCTGAAGGACATAATGCAGTGCGACAGCTGAGACAGGGTAAATTGTCTAGCAGAGCTAAAAGCTAAAAGGGGAGGTTTCTCTGAATAGGTCAGTAATTGTGCAGGTTGCAAAGGGAAGCTTTTCACACGTTGCCTTGATTGCTGCCTTTGCACTGTCTGTTCTGGACAGAAGGATTCACAACCTTCAAGGCAGCTTCTCAGAGCAAGACTTGACAGACGTGCCATGTTTGAGACGTGAGTTCCATCACGTGGTGTTGGAGGGTCTGACTGCTTTAAAATCGTGGTTTGCTGATGATGACAAAAGGTGAGCTCCTGGCAACAGCATGAAATCTCAGCTCCACTCCCTTGCATGAACTTAACAACTCAGCGTTTGAAAACTGAGGACTGAAGCTAATTCTCTAACATGTCAACCAGTCCTACAGGAAACAAAAGCATTTGCTCTACATCCTACCTACTGAAAAATACATGGCACTTTTCATATCATCTTATGATGCTGGATGGTAAATCCAGCTCTGATCTCTGCAAGGAGAGAGACAGAACCAGAGGCACACATGTAAAACATTTGCAAGCACAAGCTACCCTTAGCCTTAGGTGCCTACTTTTTTTGCATCCATTATTCAGGATATACTTACTCTCCTAACACCCAGAGGAAAGTGCCTGCACATCATTAAGCCAGTGAGATACTAAGTGGCTTGTCCAAAATTACATGAGAAATCAGAGACAGAGCAAGGAGCTGAAGCCAAGGCCTTGAGCCTGTTAATCTTGCAAGTGACAGTATCAAGCCATGCTCCTAGGCATCTGATTAAAGATATTTCATAACATAGAGTTTAACATAATGATGGGTGAATTCATCCCACCATCATGCCTGTAGCATATACTCTTTGTGCCTCATGCCACCACCAAAGGTGGCTTTGAAGCATGGCTAAGCTGGCTTCATACTTTTGCTCTGTTCTTGCCCTAGTTGGTGAGCTGCCATCACACCTCCCGCTGCCAGGCCTGGCTGACCCCAAGATGGCCAAATATTTCATTGCCTTCAGCTGTATTATCTGCAATCTGGTTAACGCACAATTTCGGTAAACTATCCACAGAGCGCTGAAGGACGACTACAGTTTGCGTCTTCCATTTTGTAACAGTAGCCAGGCTCTCATCCAAGTCCTTCCCAACAAGAGTACGAAGGTCTGGATACTCTGATTACAAGGCCTTGATTACACAGCACGTGAAAGCAGTGGAACAAACTCCAAAGAACCTTAAAAATCCAAACATCATGGTTAGTATCCTATTTCCACTCAAAAGAAGTTTACATTTCTGCTCTTCCTCTTGCCAGTCTTCCTTTACTCACTCTCTCCCATCAAAGCATATGCAGCTTTATGGTATTTATGGAATTGCCATGTTAGATTAAACAAATGGTCTGTCGAGTACAGGACAGACCACAGGCAGCTTCAGAGGAAGACCTTAGAAAGCTGTTTCTAAAGTATTTGGAAATCAGGAACTTTTCCATACACTATTATGGCGAACAAAGCATGAAGGTATATTACTTCCAAAATTTCTTTTTCTTTTTTAAAATCTATGCTATTTAAATTCAGGCTGTTCTTATGCTCCTGGTAAATGCCTTGGACTGTTGAATGTCCTTTTGTCTCATGTGGGTGTGAGTCCCAGAGATTAATCGCATATTTGTGAAGGAAAAGAATACCAATTTTAAACTGCTTATTTTCCTGGAGTGTCTTTTCCTAATGAGGCAACATGAATAAAACTCAGCAGCCCATCATTTTCTGTTAATAATTTTTCATATCTAACACATCTAGCCCCTAAGGCAAACTGTTTCGCCCTTCTTAGACCTGCTTCACGTGGAAGTTTACCCAGGTTCACCAGTCTTCTACATATTAGTCCCACATACACCCAGCT